TGGACCTCTGTGGGTTTTTTTAGTTCTTGTTACAAATCAAACAATCCAGAAAAAAACGCCATCTAATTTAATTAGGTTATGCAGATGCACAGCACTCCGATTAAAAATGCATGTCACATCATTCACTCTCCTGGTTTTAAAGCTGAACTCCAGCCAGATGTAAAGGGATGCACTAATACAGGTCACTCAAACATATTTTGTATTACAAATAATGCAAGTACCTGAATCTGACTTGGTATCAGCCTCCGTTGTGCAGCACAACTCAGACTGGAGGAGGGAGAAACCACACCAGGAACTAATCAGTTGTACTGCAGTGCAAGGGAAATGCCGATAGGAGGAGAGAGCAGAGAGATTGCTATCCAGTCACAGGCTGGGAAGGGGACCTGTAAGTGTTACTGAACTACACCAAAAACAAATCCAGTCTCCTGTCCTTCCAGATAGGACTGTGCTGTGTGGCAGAGCTGTTTACATCACAGACCTGAATGGACAGAAATACAAACCCTTTGCCAGGTATATAACATCTCCCATATATGTATGTCATCTGTGAATTTAGCTGTTTGCCTGGAGTTCAGCTTAAAACTTGGGAGTAGCCCATTGGAGGTTGGCGGCTGCACATTGCAGCTGATCCAACTCCAGCACTCAAAAAAAAAAAACTTTATTACACAAAACAAAAATAACACTCTGATTCTTGGATTCAAGAAAAGTACAAACAGGAACAAAACTAAAAAAAGTTTTTTGTTTTTTTTTTTGCAAAGGTGCACCAAGCCATTCTGTACTCTTACCCCCTCCCAAGGTGTCCAATGTAGCAGTGTGGTAGAAGTTAGACGTAACCTTTTTCTCATTCAACGCTGCCATCATACTGACAATTCACATCCCAAGTCGCTGGCTCCTTCTAGAACCTAAAACTTCCTTGTAGCGGCAGATTATGCTACAATAAACTTTTTGTTTTGCAAAACATTTCCATAACCATAGCATATTTATTTCTTGTACAGGCGCCAGATCCTTTGAATAAGGAAAATGAAATACGAATCAAATTATTCTCACCATGCACTGCTCTTTTTAATCCATTAATCTTATTAACCAGGGCATGATTGGTAAACTAGAAGAGCCAATCAGATTTCAATGAAATGGCATCAGATGAGTAAAAGAATGAATTCTGATTGGTTGCAGGAAGGTACAGCTTTTGGCACAAAGTGATGGGTTCTTTAAGATACAAAATTTTTTTTTTTTTTTTTTAGAGTACTGAAGCTTTTTTTTTCCTGCTTTGGCAACCCAAAATTCATAAAAGACATTTGAAATTGAAATAGCAGCAAACGGGTCCTGCGCCTGTACAACAAATCCACTTTTGTAAGAACCATCATGACAGCTGCCTATTGTGACACCATCCTTGTCCATCTCCTTTAATGCCACAAAACAGATTCTACACCTTAGGAATTGGAATTTTTATTTTTGAGATTAGATCCTGATAAAAGTTTCATTCATTCCCTTTCAATTCTCAAGGCCAACCCCACCCAAAACTAGTTCAGTCATTTGGTGGGCTATGCTGGGTTTTTGCTGATCTCCCCGTAGTTCTAGAAGCCACCGTGTGCGTCCAGGCAAAACTGTAACACCAGTTTAGGGTAGAGCTGACCTTTACACATAGACAGAAAAAATAGGATCGGGACATACAGATCCCTCTAACATGTACTGACAGTTCTGGTACAGAATATAGTGATCAAATACATGTTTTGCTGGCGTCTCATTCATACGTATAGTATTTTTGTGTAGAGATTGTGTCTGAGGTAATGGTCTATAGTGTGTGTTGTACTTAGATGAAACACACTGAAATGAACTGACAATTAGGCTTGGTTCACATTCTTGCAATCTGCATTTTGCGAATAGGCAACCATTCATTTCAATGGGCTCCTCTACTAGCAGAAACACAGGGAAAGAACCAGGTCTGGCATGTACAAAAATACTCATTTGCAATGCATGGGAGTGCCATTAGGGAATCAAAGGCACCCCCCTGCGCGTCTGCTAAAGAGCAGCGACTTTTGCCTGCGGGTCAGGAATCTGTACGATTTTGTGAGCGCTCCCGACCCACAATAAATGTGAACCTAGCCATAAAAACTTAAATGCTGTACTCCAGCTAACTGGTGCAAATGTTGGTATTTTGTTTATTATTGTACATCAGGCTATGTGCCAGTGGGACACTACAAGTCCCAGCATGCCACTCCTGAGACTGGTACCCACCAGAAAGACAAGGCCTGTATTTCTAGTCTGTGCAGCTTTTGTAACTGTCATCAAGCTATACTAATCTGTAATCTGAAGTGTTTAATACTTTTTATTTGTTGTATTGCATTAAGAGGCCTCATATATCAAGCTATCCAGAGGTCTGCCTTATCTAAACAAAAAAAATCAGTCAGTTTCTATTGCAGGTTTCTCTTGCACATCACAAAGTCACACATGAACAGGATTGTGACAGACTGTGCTGTAATCACTTGTTGTCCAACACATTCATTAATGCTAGGGAAATTGTACTTAGCAGAACATACATGTTGCCATATGCATGGTAATAAAAATGCAAGATAGTGCAGCAAAGAAGTGAAGATCTGGAGTAGTTGTATGTGGCTCACTAATACGTAGGTGGCTGATACATGTACATATGTGGAGCTTTTATTGCTTATGAATGCAGAATGAATGTAATATATCTGCAAACACAAAATATATTTCTTCAGTATTTATAGTGACCCCAACACCCTCTTTACTTACCTTTCTGGTGGCCCATGTGTTAAAACTCCATTTCTTCTCTGCATCATGAATTTGACTCATCAGTTGTGTCAAACACCTTTTACCCCTGTTGCATGCTATGGATCCTTCCATTGGCTCATACATCCTGTAGCAAGGTATAAGCTGACAGAAAGAACCACCGGCGGTAGCAGGGGAGCAGGTATTCACCAAAATTGGAATACATGACATGGTGAAGTTTTAACACACGGGCTATGGAAAAGGTAGGTTTGGAGCGAGCCTGTTCTTTTATAGCCTGATCATTGTGTATACGTGAGAGGATCACTGTGAACTGCTGTGCGATTGGTTGCTATTGCTACATTTTACATATCATTGCTTCTTCAGAATAAAACCAATTAAGCACTGGTAATCCATGCCAACCAAGAAGAAATTATTTTCTGCAGTTTTGTGTGACCATGTTTATCAAAGTGGGTCAAATGCTGGAAGTCAGACAACATATGTATAACACTAATGTTCATAGACAGCAGAAAATCCATGGCTACACATTTTTTGGTATCAGGCGCTCAGCATTTTCAATTCTTCAACAGTTAACCACCACATAGTCTCCATGCACCATTACACCACCATGAAGACAATTTATGAAACCGGAAACAAAGAAGAAGGCATTGTCAGAAAGAACTATTTCTAAGTCCTTCAACTCGTAAGTTAAAATGACAACAGCTGTGTTATTACCTTTCACAGTCAGCCCTGGTGGATCTTTATGACATAACACAGAGTCAAGGGAGGCTAACTCCAGCTGAAATTATTTCAGTTCTAGTCACCAACTCAGACCTAATTTATTTTAGTTCTAGTCAATGGAGACCAACTCCAACCTAAATGATTTCAGTTTTAGTCAATGGAGACCAACTCCAACCTAAATTATTTCAGTTCTAGTCAATGGAGACCAACTCCAACCTAAATGATTTCAGTTTTAGTCAATGGAGACCAACTCCAACCTTCTTATTTCAGTTCTAGTCAATGGAGACCAACTCCAACCTAAATTATTTCAGTTCTAGTCAATGGAGACCAAACTCCAACCTAAATTATTTCATTTCTAGTCAATGGAGGGGCAATGGGGGCCAACTCCAATCTAAATTATTTCAGTTCTAAGCAATGGTTGCCATCTCTAACTGAAAATATTTCAGTTTCATTCAACTGAAAATATATCAGTTCTAAGTGTGGGTACCAGTGGGTTAAATCCCCATCCAGCATTTTATATCTCTGATACCTCAGTGGTGAGATCTGTCTGTCATTTTGAGTGGGACCAGTTATTTCATTTGGTATATTTTCTCACTGAAGTCTCCAAAACATAAACCGGCATATGACTTCAACAGCACATACAAAGTTTATAAGACGTTAGCTAGTTTACTACTAGATGTAGAAGGACTGAAAGTGATATGATTCCAATGTACTTTTAAATTACATAAGAAGCCTTTATGAATTGAGAATTACAGAAGCCATTTTGAAATGTGAATCAATATTCAGAATGATAAATCTCATCATTCCTTGTGACCTGGTGAACTTGCAATTGCTCCACATGTCCTAGTCAGCTCACTAAGTTCTCATTGTTATTAGTTCACCTTTGGAAATGGTTGCCTTGAGTAGATCTAAGCTGCAGATACACCTAAAGAAACCTTTAGTGCCCAAAGTTGTGATCTCACAGAAAAAAATACAACATTGACAATTAAAGAGAGAGAAAGCAAAATGACTTTCCAAAAATAAATATCAGGAAACAAGCAAAATATTCTTTGTCTCCATATGATTCAGTTAAGGCAGTTCAATGTGTTTCCATTTTCTCAAAATACTTCTGTGGATTTGAACAGAAACATTATTGGTGACATCCCATCAACGATAATGGTATTGCCCCCAAAACACTGAAATTATGTTTCTCCTTGTTTCTGTTTAAAAAAAAAAAATCGATTGCACAAAGTGTAAAAAGAATATCAGACTGCTGATGGAGGAAACAGCAATCAGCTAGTGAATGGAACCTGGTAAAAACTCCTAAAGGTAAAGTACGTTCTCCTTTTGTTGGATATTCCAAGCCACCATTGGATGGAAGGAGCTCACAGCATCCTATAAAGGGTACATCCTTCCACTTTCTAACCAGAGACATCTGATGGTAATACGAAGCAGACTTTTCCTAGTAAAGATTCCACAGTTACAAGGATTCTCTGATGCCCTGGACTCCCCCAAGAGCCGCAGCAAGTTTATTCTGAAGTCCGGTAGACAGGTGCTCAATTCACACCCTCTGTCACTAAGTTCTGCAAGGTGCTTTCTTTGATTTGCTGAATGAAGAGTTTGCGTTCATCCTCCGGAGTCCGCCCATTCTGTGCTCGCACAATGCAGGTGGGTCGGTGGAGGTTCAACATGTAGATAAGATGCTGTTTCTCATTCTTTAGTTCCTCAATCTGGGCTTTCAGTTCTGCATTGATAGATTCCAGCTTCTCTGACTCCTTATTAGAAGAAGCAAGGCAGAGTTAGTGACAAGGTAAAGACATCCCATCTACAGACACATAATGGAATTTAAAAAACAAATACGTTCCTTTAAAAACTTTATTCTTTTAATGTATCACTGTAAATCAAGCAATACTGCTGTTAGGACGCTGGTGAACGCTCTCGTAGTACATTGATTTCTCCTGTCATTCAGTAACTGCCTGCCTGTACAAGGTACAGGCAGACAGCTTACACTGACAGTTTGCAAGAGCCTGAAATTGCACCCGCGATCAGCAATGCCTTCCAGGCTCCTGCAAAAAAATTATAAAGGCACATTTTTTTTACCTGCAAAAAAGAAATGTGCATTTATACATTTTTTTTAAAGGTTAACTTGCCCTTTAAAGTCAAACTATTCTGACATATTTACAAAGGTACAAGGGCACCTCTGCTGTCATTTGACAGCCTGTAATAATTGGGGGAAATATAAAATCAAGGGGCTCAATGTAAATTTTCTTGACTCATTACAAGCTTACCAAGTCCTCCAAAATTCTGCTGAACTTCTTCACAAAGTATAGCAGTCATTTAGTTTTATTACAAAATATTTGCTGCTGCGTGTTTATTGTCTGCACATTAGAATGGTGGGAAGGTGTGGTATATGTTGACCTCTAAGTACACTCACCTTCTGCAAGCATTCTGTTCTCTCTTTCTTTTTGTTTCGACACTTGGCGGCTGCCACCTTGTTCCTCTCTCTTCTCCTCTTCTTCCTGTCGTCTTCTTCTGGCACAAACTGGGAAATAAAAAAGGACATGTCTACATAAGTTCCAGATATTCTCCCAATAGAACACTGACACTCAACTGTCTGACAACCAGCAGTAAACAGATAGTTGAGTTTGTTTTTGGATGATCACAGGATTTGTCTGCTTAAAAACAGAATCCCGTTTATTGTCAATGTAGTCTGAATTAAGGCTTGATACTCATATCTCTGGAAAACTCTGCAAGCTCTGCACCGAAGTTCTCAACACTGCTTACCTGCTGTGGTCTCAACACAAGAGTCTCACTTTGTGTTTTATAGCTTACAACAAAGCAAGAAAACCAAGATTTCATGGTTATGGGGAGGACAGTTGGAACCCCAATATGGGGATCCCACAGCCAGAGTCACTCAGAAAACGTTCTCATTAGACATCAGCTTTGAGAAGAATTGATCATCTAATCACTTTATCCACTAAGAGTAAAGTGAGAGGTTCTCTTGTAAGAAAAATATATTATTTAACTTCATCTTTCTGATTGTGCAATGAGCAAAATTGGTGCAAATCACAAGACTAGCTGTACAGAATTGTAAATTTTTGGTGAGAAAAAGCATCAAACAGTGATATATTCCCACTGTAAATGTAGCCATTTTCCAGGTGTTTGCATTTAATTATGAATGCCTCACAAAAGTAACCAGTTCTCCCCTAGAAACCTCTTTAATAGAACCATAGACATTGCTTACCTCTGTCTTAGCCACTGTCATTTCTATGGGTCTTTCTGCAACCACAACGCTGTCCAATGTGCAAGGTGCACGGATACGCTTGTTCTGGATGGTGTACCTCAGTTCTTCTTTAACCAGAGGCGTCAAGTTGGTGAAGTCTTCAAATGCGAACGTCATCGTTGGAGACAGACATGGGACAATGGCGGTTGCGCTGACCTCCACAGCTGAACCCTGTCCTGGGTGTTGAAGCATCATTTTTCTAAGGACAAAACACAAATCCGGCATTTTAGGAAGTCAGAATGACTCCACATCACATCTATAGTTAAGGTGTGCTAAAGTACTCCTTTAAATAAGTCTCCTAATCAATAGATATTTACATTTTTGAGCAGAGGGAAATAGACAAGGAAAGCTTACTCTTACCTGAAGCTCTCTATTAATGTATAATATAGTGTATGTACTCTATAGAAAAAATTCTCCTCCACTAACTGCTCCCAGTCCCAACTGTCTGAAATAGGACACAGCTCCAGGCACAACCAAATCAGAAATGAGAAAGGGAGAGGATCACTGTTGGAACTTTACCATACTAAACTAAAGGGGTCAATTTACTAAAGGCAAATATACAGTTGCTCCAGAGCTTAGTAAATGAGGAAGAGCTCTGCTGACTTCCATTGACAATCTTGAGCAAGTAAAAATGTTTTTTTTTTATTTTCATTGCTTGTGATTGGGTATCTCTTAGATTGTAAGCTTCAAGGAGCAGGGCCTTCCTAACCCTCTTGTATTGAACTGTATTGTTGCTTTATTGTCTCCTGTTATATTGTAAAGCGCTGAGCAAACTGCTGGCGCTATATAAATCCTGTATAATAATAATATTCTTTGCAAAGTGACGATTCACCTCATTTACTAAGCTCTTGGGCAATTGCACTTGCAAAGTGTACAGTCTATTTGTGGGAAAGGTAAGTACTGAGAATTCTAAATCAATCCCATAGACTACTAGGGTAAGTGTCATGTTGCACATAAAAAGCCCTAAACCTGTTTCCTAAATGGATAAATCACATTTTCAAGATGTAAAAATGAAACCAATTTTGATGATCTCACTGTTCTAAATTGGTGAAAAGTAAGGCTGATATCACACAGGCAATTTTTTTTTTCACAGCCTGTTTTACAGTTGCTCTTTCCTGCTCAGAAATTCATAATGATTTTCTAATGGAACTGCTAATTCTACAATTTTTAGAAAGATTTGTTGCTAAATTGATATTGACAATAACTCTTCATCCACCTCTAAGGCTAGGTTCACACTACTGCATGTTGGGGGGAACCGCGCACAAAATTTTGCAGTTTCCTGACATAAACAGAAACATGTTTCCCTAGCACACAAATGGTGATGCCACTAATTGTTAATGGCACCCCCATGCATTTGCTATTGTGTGCCATTTTCACTTGCACCAAACCGGCACCATGTGGTTTGGTGCAGCGTGTTTTTGTAAAAGGGTCAGGGATTTCTTTTCTGTGTATCCAGCTTGTATGGCAGCCCTTTAAAATCAAAGGGCTGCCTTACACACGACGTGCGGAAACGCACAAGTTCTTGGTTGTACCTGTAGTTGTGAACCTAGCCTATGGCTTAGCTACAAACTGCTGAAGGAGAACAATTTGAAAGAGAGTACAACCCAATGCTGTAGCACTATAATCAGTGACTCTAAGAATTAAATTGCTATCTGCAAATAGCTGGTAATCACTTGCATTAGCGATTTACAGCAGTGATTAATCTCTGCTACAAGATCGCCAATGTGACATCAGCCTAAAAACTGGCTCCATGCTGGCTTTGTAAAAAAAAAAGTAAAGAGGGTTTCTTGCATACAGAAATACTAAATTTCACAAGCAAAGTGTCTCATAACAACCAATCAGGTTTTATCTCTCATTCTGTGGCAAAAAGAATCAACTGAATTCTACAGATAATGGCCTGAAGCTTGGTCCAGTCTTCCAAACTTTGATAACTTATCGGTCTGCACTGTGTAATAAGCTTTATAACTTGTTTTTCTAGCTTGAACAAAAAAAAATATGTCAGCAGTGACAAATACGGCTGAAAGCTTATTGTCGCTCATAATGTTACAAAGTGCAAAGTTTAGTAGACATATAAATAGCATTTGGCTTATAATTACACAACCTGACAATATTATTTTTAGGGTCAGATCACCAATTAAACCATTTATTCTGCCTAGAGGTCTGTGTCAATGTAAACAAGAGGTGAGCAAGATTTGGCTCATTGCCTGTCGGGAAGGTGCAGCCCATACCGGTTACCAAGTTTCGTAGGGCACTAAAAGCTATTGTGACAACTCAAAGTGGCTATTTTTTCATCCCTCAAAGAAATTAAATTTGGTATCTTGAAACTGACCCTCTCATAAAATAAAAATGCCCTAATTAAATGTACCAGTTAAAAAAATTCTCAGTACTTACCTTTCCCACTGCCCATTCTGATAGAACATGGCTTCATTCAGTAAAATATTTTGATGAAATCCATAGGAAATGTAAATTCCAGAAAGTATCAATCTCCTGGATCCTCCATAGCTCCTGTTAACCTCCATGTTGCTGCTGTGTCCTTTAATGGGTGGAGGTCAGAGGACGAAACCAGTGAGATCTGCGGGGGGGACCCTGGAGATTGACACTACCAGAAGTGCTGGTATCTCTACGGATTTCAGCAGAAAAGTTTCCTGAATGGAGTGGTGTTCTGACAATGTGGTCAGTGGGGTAAGTATAGACAGTGTTCTAGTGGTAAACTTACTTTTTTTTTAATTTTATGACAAAGTCACTAATCAATCAGAAAAGAAACGAGTCAACTGTCACTGCTGACTTATTAGGCTTGCTCCAGGACAATTAAGTTCAACCTTATTTACTTGTCTGGTCAATGACCTGGAGCAAGCATATGTATATCAGGCATCAGAAACAGGATGACAAACCCTGGAGCCTGCACCTTCAAAATGCGAAAAAGACTGTCAATGGTTTCTACATTATTTATACTTTTGGCAGTTCCCTTTCATTTTTTCCAAAAATAATAAAATATTACCAATATGTACAAAATGTTTTATAATGTATTTACTAAATAAATCATTCAACCTAATTAGGTTCCATTAATTAAAAAAAACCCTAAAAAGAATGGGGCAGGCTTGGCAAGAGAGAACAGGGTGGGCTCACCAGTGAAATAAGGTTTGTTTAGAGTCCAAGTGGCAGCAGAAGGCAGAACATTGGATGGAATCTTCACAACTGCAAGGTCTGAAGACTTTACCACCCTCCTTATGAAGCCATATAGCACAGAAAAGGTATTATAGGCATCCATAAGTAGGTAAAATTGATCCTAAATATTTGTCTCAACTGTATATTGTTTGGCCATTGCCTGGAATCACCTTTTAAGTCACACTTGACTAACCTGGCCGGCAACGCATGAAAAATCATGATGACATCGAGTTAATGTTAAACAGCCAGTCAGTTCATGGCCTTGGTGACCCAGCTGTGTCCTGGAGCAGCCTGACATGACTACTGCTATGCAGAATGGGGTGGGGGTGACTTGCTGCCCTGAAGCTGTGGTGGTACCACAGATCCCAGCATGTCCTAATGAGACTGGTGTTCAAGCTCAGACATGGAACACCTCCATAGTCTGAGGGCTAAAAATAAGTCGACCCTCCTTTGTACAGATATTGAATGAACCAGGAAGCAGAGTGCATTTCCAGGAAAAGAATCCACTTTAGAATGTGTTGTGTCACCAAAGGACATGGTGCAACCTGCCAGCAACCAGCCGTGACAGCAATAAGGAAAGGACTGAGTACAAAAGCCACTGACATCATCAGTTGAGGAAAGTTCAGTCACCATGACATGTAATATTCTTCTTCACTGCCATTGCTGTGCTTCCAAATTCTTGAAATTCCTCTAAAATCTCCTCCTTCCTCCCCATAAATTTATATGAACCATTGTCCTGTCACCATGCAACTTAATCAATAAAACAATGCAAAGGACAAAGCTGAACTGCACAGTGCAGTAACTCCTAGCAACCAATCAACTTCCCTTTACAGAATTTTCATTGAAATGTGAGATCTGATTGGATACTATGCAATTTATTTACTAAAGCTGGAGAGTACAAAATCAGGTTCACTTCTGCATAGAAACCAATCAGCTTTCAGGTTTTATTGCCAAAGCTTAGTTGAACAAGCTGAGGTTAGAAGCTGATTGGCTACCATGCACAGGTGCACCAGATTTTGAGTGAACCAGCTTTAGTAAATCTCCCCTCCCCTTATGGGTTACTGCACCCTAAACTAGCCATTCACCTGATACTCCAAACTCTATATGTTCTTCTATGTTCTACCAAAACTATAGCAGAAGCTCTTACTAAACAAGCCCTTCTAATGGTATCCAGTTGTGTAATACAAAGTGGTTGGTAGATCTACAGGAGATTGCACAGATTGCAAGGTGTATGGCCAGCTTTACACTTTGCTAATAAGCCTAAAAATCTTTTCACACTTTTTTTCTAATAAGCAGGTCTTAAAAAAGCTTCTGAAAACCAATTCATTAGAGGTCAGAGGCATAAATGCCCCATACATTCATTGGTGGATAGTGGGAAAGGTGCTCCCTTTACAGAGCTGGTCAGAATTCTTCCTTTACAGCCAGCTACAAAAGATGATTGGCTTCATGCAGCTGGCTGTGCCAAGAGGCACTGTCCTCTGCACTATGCAGTTCTAGAACTATATCAGATGGGAGGTCAATAAGCCACAGCACAAGAGACCCCTACCAACCTCTGGAGGAACCCAGGCTGGGAATGGTTGATCTACTCAGTGTAAAAAGGGGAAGTAATGTGACATAACTCATTTTTTCACATAGAAAACGTCATCGGTGTCACCGACCAGATCTCATCCGCACAAGTCTCTGGCCATACATCCGCATATAAGGGAACTAGCTATTCTGCTTTAACTTGCACAACAGTGACACAAAAGCAAAAAAATATGCAACCACCGAGGCATACATGTGTCCTTTCCATGTCAGTTCACATAAAGATTGCAAAAGCTGTCACATTGCAAATCGTCAAATGTGACCGAAACAAAGTAATTCAAACAAAAGGTTACATGTATCCATCCACCTCCAGGTTTTATTTTAAACACAACAAGCAGAAAGCAGAAGTAAAAATCATTGCAATCATCTTTACGTAAGCACGTAATACACTTGTATTGGTGCGATATACAGTACTTTGTACACTAGTAGTGGTGGAAGTTAAACTTTGTC